GATGTGTGTTTTTATTTATTTAGTCTCAAACAACAGGAAACGTCTTGAATTTTAAATAAAGTGCTTGGTAAAGCCTCATACTGAAACTATTTAAACAACACTAGATGTACAAAATGAAAAGAAAACCAATAGTGCGCCCGACGTTTAAATTTTCATAGTTTAATCGATAGGAAGCATTATAGTTATACAGTATAAAATGAATCGGTAGAGTATTTACAGTATTTGAAGTTTTTTGGGATAATTTTGTAGTTTATGATAATTTATGTATTTTATTTCAAAATACAAACGTATTTTGTAGTTGTAAACAGGTATTATTATTCTATATTCAACTAGGCATATAGATTGTTTCTTTTATCAATAAACTATGTGATTACTTTATAATATATACTAGCTACGTTCGAAGTAGTTATAACAGTAGATTTAATTGCCCTGTAGTAATATCGTTATTGCACCTGTCCCTTCAATACAAACAAGTAAACAATAATGTTTTATAGTGAGAATGTAACTGTTATTCTATTTTAATTACAGTACAGTATTACATTACTTCATTAACTTTTATATCTGTTCTAAAGCCGTGCAGTATTTTTAATTGCTTAGGCATATGTTACATTTTTAATTGTTATGCTACAATGTATGTGGAATGTTGTATTATGTATTATACTAGCGAAAAAATAAATTTCAATTGAATAACGTGAGTAATTATTTCTTTTACCTATTTATTTTCTTTTAAAATTGTATAAATTTCTATGTATTGTATGTTTTAAATATGTTTGATGTATTATATATGTTGTCTTATCACAAAAACAAATTTTCAGTTCTCTATGTCCGATTTTCGTCTGTACTAAAAATATACCTTAAGTAACTAAATATTCCAAATAGTAACAACCTACATATTAATACCTAAATATTATACTTGGAACATTTATTATTTATTAATATTTTTTGTTAAACATGTATTTTACATGATATTTTTGTTTCGCTAGTCGTTAGGGAGGCGCCGCTTTGCCAGCCCAAGGTCGGACACCCCTCACCATGTCACTGTTATATTGCATAATCAATGTTTTTGCCACCCACCAAAATCCTCCTTCCCAACGTTCTACATTCCTCTTGTGTCTGGTTTCTATTCAGTCGTAAAAAGTAAAACATTCAAAATAATTTCAACTCTTACCAAGTTAAATAAACTTATGCTTTCGTTAAACACTGGGTCCAGTCTGGTGATTTTGGAGAGCATTTTCAAAAACGTTACAGCATTTATTATAGGACTTTAGTAACAAATAAACAATACTGGTCATTTAAAAGAATCTAGATAATTTTAACATTTTCTATGAATTGAGTAAGCTCTATTGCATTTGAGGAGGATTTTCTGAATTACTACTTTATTGAATTACCGTTTCCTCTTCGAAAGAGGACCACTACTAAACTCCTCCAGTTACATATTACAATGCAAATTGTTAACTTTTGTAACGCATTACATAAGTTCTTTTATGTAAATTTTAATCGATACATGTCTAATTTCAATATATTTCAATGATAGATGTTTTCAAATATAATTAAGTGAGGTGCAGTAGTGGAATAATTTGCTTTTAGTATTGATGCTGGAACTAATCTTATGGCTACTACAGACGTGGTTGCAAATCTAATACAGAAACAAACAAGCAAAACAAATAAAGTATATCCGTTAATAAGCTGTTTTTAATAACATAGCGACTCTTTAACGACCTTTTTCATATTTTGAGCTCATTATTGACTTGTCCTTAAAATAATGTGTCCTTAAATGTGCTTAATTGATGGCAAATATTTTTAATCGGCTAACTATTATTAAAATGGATTTGAATAGAGAAAAAAAGTCAAATTTTCGTATTCGATGACTTGTTATCATTTTCAATCGCCGATTTTTTATTTTCATAATTAACAATTTTGTAATTGGAAATTTGCCACTATCAAGAAATTACATTCTGCATTTCACTACTAGTCCCGAAAGAAAATCATTGATGAAAACATAATTAATATACCATGGGACAATACGAGTAATTTATTATTTAATATCGAGAAGCTTTGTGTAAATTTTTGCATTGTGATGAAAATTATCGTTCAATACTCGTCACAAAAGATCAATTCCGGTCTTGATCGTTATTTATGCGCCCGGCTTCGTCTCGCTTGTGAACCAGTATAGTGTAAAATATACAGTACCGGTACTATTAATGTTGTCAGCTGTTGCAATATCTTACTAATATTATAAATGTGAAAGTTTGTGTGTTTGTTTGTTTGTGTGTTTGAAGTTCAATCACGCATAAACCACTGGACGGATTGGGCTGAAATTTGGCATGATGATAGCTTACATTCCCGATTAACATATAGGCATATTCTTATCTCAAACATCCTTTCGGGCTCCGCCCCAGTGGCTCTGTAATTCCCCATGTTAACCTTATGAGTATTCATATTTAAAGGGAATTAAAGAATTTAGTCAGCTGTTTCAACTAAAAAAGTTGGTTCTTAATATGGAAAGGCATTAAAAAGCTATAAGATTTACCAACAGGGTGCAGCACTATATTTTTTTTGCATTTATGAAAACAGCTAATTTGAACTAAGCAGCAACAAAAAACTGTGATTAGCAATGAGAACTGTCAAAGTAGGATTGTTTACAGTTATGTTTTTAATTTCATGAATAATTTGTGATATTTTGCGAATTGTTGATAATTTATTTTTCTCTATTGTTTAGGGGCAGTGGTAGAACATTATGGCTCTGGTAGATGTGTAATACTATAGAATGCTGTAAATTTAAAAAAGCAAATTTTATCAAACTGTGTCCTCCCTTATTGCAAACGCAAAGCTTGAGTATAACTGCAATAAGCATTTTATACTTATATTCCAACCCCGTACGAAGGACGGGTACTCTGCTAGTACTACTATAAGACAGCTTTTTGACCAATAATAGCCTAATTCTCGTAATAACATTGTATACAGTTCTCCTGTTGAACTTAACGGAAACTTCGTTTGTTTCAGCAAGGAAAACTAAACTAATTTTTATGATATACAAAATAAAACACTTAATTTTTTTAGATTTGAAATCGGCAATATTTAGTCTGATAGTTCAGCTGCACGGAAATCAGATATTATCGTACTATACAGAGTGGTGGAAACTTATAGCTTGAACAATTTTGCCAAAATATTGGATTTATATCGACATTTCCCCATTCATCGCACCGCATGACAACTGAACAATACAAAATTTAGGCTGAAATATACTTTAATTGAATTTCAATATACAGTGTGTAAATTAAGTATGGAAACAAATCTGTATTTTTAAAACCGAAATAGATAGAAATATTCTATTTGTGGCAATAATAGTTAACAAAGATTCCGCAATTTTTCACATGAAAAATATTTTTTTACCCCCCTAACAGGGTAGGTGGTAGGGGGTGACTTATTTTTTTCAAATAGCAACCCCTATTGAGTGACCCCTCATTTTGAAGAGTTTGTCAAAAGAAACACAATGACGCAAATCCGAGGTGAATATCTCACTCCTAGCCCAAATGGCGGATATTCCAAAATTTGATTTATTGTACGTGAAAAGCACCAATTTCACAAATAATGGAAAGAAATCTGTATTTTTAAAACCGAAATAGATAGAAATATTCTGTTTGTGGAATTGATTGTTGACATAGGTTCCGCAATTTTTTTAATCAACAATATTTTTTCAACCCCTTTAACAGGGTAGGGGGTGGGAGTGACTTATTTTTTTCAACAACAACCCCTATTGAGTGACCCCTCATTTTAAAGGGTTTGTTAAAAGAAAAAGAATGACGCAAACCCGAGGTAGATATTTCACCCCTAGCCTAAATGGTGGGTAATGAAAAATTTAATTTTTGTAAAAAAAAAGCCCATTTTGGAATATCCGCCATGTTAGCTAGGAGTGAGATATTCACCTCGGATTTGCGTCATTGTGTTTCTTTTGACAAACCCTTCAAAATGAGGGGTCACTCAATAGGGGTTGCTATTTGAAAAAAATAAGTCACCCCCTACCACCTACCCTGTTAGGGGGGTAAAAAAATATTTTTCATGTGAAAAATTGCGGAATCTTTGTTAACTATTATTGCCACAAATAGAATATTTCTATCTATTTCGGTTTTAAAAATACAGATTTGTTTCCATACTTAATTTACACACTGTATATGAAATGGTTCTTATGTAGATTATATTAATATTTTTATGTAGAATGTTGTAAATAAACAACAAAAAACGTTTTAGCTTTTCAATTACATAGTTAAAGTGTATTTTTATCTAATACAGTATTGTTTCCCTCGTTGATATTCAGCTTTAGAATTTTCGAAATAAAAACAATTATACGTTTGTTTTGATAAACAATAAACAATTACTTTGTAACAAATATTTTCATGAATTTCATACGGAGTTCGTGCCGTTTTTAACTGGTTGTGTAAATAAGAAAACCAGCAAGGACGACCTTTGAAATCCAAAGAAAATGTCTGAAATGAGTTATGAGTATGATATAAATAAATAAAATTGTGTTAGAAAATAACTAGGTATGCCCATAATTAGTTTTGCCGAAAAGGCTATAAGAATGGATTTTATCCGTAATAACTGTTTCCATATGGAAAAATGATGTAAAAGGTCATGTTAGCCCGTAGTGAAGACACAACTTCTTCATGATGATGACACACAGTCGGTCCATGATAAAACTCATAAGTATGTCGAGCAAAGCCGACGGATAACAGCTAGTGCCATATAAACCCCCTTGGTCAATTAATATTTTTCAAGTAATAGACCAATAGATCTGCTCTCTCCTTTTGAAACTACCTGTCCGTGCTTGTGTAAATTACTACTGTAATATCAGGCTTTGGAATGACTTGTTTAAATTAATGACGTCTTTATTCTATGTAGTGGGTCTCTTGCTAACAGTTACTAGTTGATACTTTTTAAATTATAAATGCCCCTACGTATTTACTGTAACACAAATCAACCTTTGCGTACTGGTGTTTCAGGCAAGGATGGGTGAGGAGGCGGCGTTAGACGACTCAGATCTCTCGGACATAGAGATTGACGATGAAATCACAGAAGAGCTGATGAAATTGGATTTCATGGGATCCAGCTCCGACGAAGATGAAGAAGAGGAAGAGGAAAGGTTAGCTGAGGACAAGGAGGATAAAAGGCTAGTGGAGGAAGAAAGACCGCAAAGAGGAGATAGTTTAGAAAGAGAACTTGAAGTCATGTTCATGTCTCAAAATGCTAAGGAAGTGCCTGGAGGGGTGGAGGAAGGGGCCAGCAAAGATACAGGATTGGAGAGTATCTCTGACAATGAGCTAGACGGTCCGGAATCTGGAGAATGTGATACGAGTGACGGAGAACTGCCAGACAGTCCCAACATAGTAGTGACGATGCCCGATACGCCGCCCATCAACCACATGCAAGGGATAGAGGACCTGTCGGGTTCCAGCGACGTGGAACTAGTGGATGAGTATCACGGAAGAGAAGGCGAGTATTACGAGAAACCTGCTAGAGAAGTGATCATCGAGAAGAGGGAGGCTGTTGTCAAGAGGAAAGAAAAAAGTCCGAGCAAAAGTAGAGAAAGGATTATTGATAAAGTGATAAAAGACAAGAAAAGCAAAAGTAAAAAGAAAAACGAATCGGAAGGTACGGAAGAAGAAAAACGACGCTTAAAACTCGAAAAATACATGGCGCGATTGGAAATGTATAGAGCTAAATGTCGTGAGTATATGAAACAGATTTCAAAGAAAACTGAACTCATGAAAAAGAACGAGAGAAAAAAAATTTTAATAGAAAAGAACAAAATCAAAAAGAGGATTTCTGGTGAAGGTAACAAGTTGAAGTCCATTGTGAAGGAAGTAGTCAGAGATAATTCACCTCATAGTTCAACATCGTCAAAGTTTGAGCGCAGCTCGCACTCGTCGAAAACAGACAAATCTCCGCTCAGTGAAGTCCACGCCAAACGAAGTTCCTCGGATAAAGAGCGCAAGTCCAAGCACAAAAAACCTAAAAGCAAGTCCAGAGAATTAAAAGAGCATAAACTGTTATATCAGGAATACTTACATTACCTTCAAATAGAGCGGCAGAAATGTCTCGAAGAGGGATTCCTTAAGTCAGAAAAACCTAAAAAGATTAAGAAAAAGAAATCAAAATCTAAGAGTCCCGAAAAGAAAAAGGAAATATCTCCTACGAAGAAACAAACTCCTCGTCCTCCAATTTTATCTTTTTCTGAATTTTGTAATAACAGAGAACTAGTTTCACCTGATAAAGAAATTCCGCAACCTCCTGTCAAGGTAAAAGCTAGTGATGATGCAGAAGTAAGGAAAGAAAGGACGTTATCTGTAGACTCTGCAGCGACGACGGCTACAGTGAGGAGTGACCCAGCTGACGACGACAAGGAGTTGTTCATCACAATTACTGACCTCGAAAAACAAGACAAACAAAAAGAAAAGAAAAGTATAGAAGAAGACAAAGAGAAAATCGAGTCTGAATTAGAAAAGGATCCAGAGCTGAAGAGTATATCAGTGTTTACCAGCGTACTATTCAAGGGCGACTCTGAATCAAAAGCCATCCCTTTCTTGTCATCCGAATGCCGTCCATCTAGTCCAAAGCTGACCGAAATCAAACCCAAGAAAGCGTTCATTCAAGATACAGGTATAGATGAAATATACGATATGAACGACGATCTTTCGAATATTTCTCAATCTAGTCTTTCGCCGTCCAGGTCTCCCGTGCCTAAACTGCACAATAAGGCGTTACTTAATTTCCTAGAAAACCAAAAAGAAAGGAAGGAGGGCTTGAACAAGAAATCTCCAGAAAAGAAGTCAAAACCTTCCAGGTCGCGGTCTAAAAGTCCCAGGAGAGAAAGATCGAGGTCGAAAAAACGAAAAAGAAAACACCATTCGTCAATATCGACTGTTTCACCATCTCCTCCTCCTCTCAGGCCGCGATCTCCGGAGAATATCCATAGGAAAAGGACTTCTCCTACGGCCTACCTCAAAGAGCGGTGGAAGGACTACCCGTCACCTCCCGAACATAGACTGGCCAAGAGAGATCACAGACTGACAACTCTAGTCCGCAGACGGTAAGCCATCACAGTATTGCATCAATATACCAGAGTTTTATAACTTATAAAAATCGCTAAAATTGGTAAAAATGGTTTTCCAGTTGGTTACCATAACGAGACCGTAGTAGCCGCCGTTACAACATTTGTGTAATAAACATGGTCGCATCGTGCGTGTAGATTGTAAAAATTAATTGTCCGATTAGTTAACTCGTTATAGTGATCCCCTCCAAATCGCGGTGTCGATTTTGGACCTAGATGGCATCGGGCTACCAATTAACGAATAGCTTTCCGACAAAATGTCAACATCGTAATATAATACAGTATAATAATATTCAAGACTAGTTCTCTAATAAAATATTTAATAAATCCTCCCGTACACTTACTAATTCCATTTTTTATTATTCTTAAACATACGAAAAAGGTGAATCCGATCCCTAAATTAAATTACAACGTGTTTATTCCATTAAGAACAGTTTCGGTCTAAAACAATGGACCGCTCTATTGCCCTTGAACTTAAACCCTCTTCCCTACCCACCGTACCAAATCCCGACCGATTGGTCCCGGGACTATGCATAGATCAAGTCCGATTGGTCAGTTTCTCATTTTATCAGTGCCAGCTCAGTTCGTAAGTTTAACGTTATAATATTTCCGTATAATATTTCCACAGGGCGGTACAGGGGTTGGCTGCGCGCGTCCACTATTGATCCGTCCTCCGTTGCTCACAATTACTGTGCTCTGCTCTGCTCGACCGCCGACTCTGCCGTTATTTACCGGATCTCCCGAGGTGTTGTATCCGGTTTCATTGATATCGGCCTCTCTGCGGTATTAACAGTGAAGTAGTGTCCGAGATGTAAATACAGGTGCGGAGTGCGCGATGGCTGTGACGGCCGCCCCTGTCCTTATCAGGGCCGCCGCATTGATAAGGGACCCCCGCTGATATGTTGGTCACTGATAACAGTGTTATCGCACTAGAGCAGATTCTTGAAGACCTCGAGGGAAGGTATAGTTTTGTATATTAGATTGAGTGTTTTATTAGTGTATTTTTCAAAATTTGCATGTTAGTGGTTTGATATGGAAAGGGAACTGTTGGCCCGGTTGAACGGTCTTAAATATTATCTAATGTCGATAATTTGTTAGATTTTATGGATTTTATCAACAACAATCTAACAAATATATTATATTTTGGGTGGACCAAAAACTTAAGATATATGGTACTTTGTAGATGTCGCTTGTAATCAAACCAGCAACCAGATTTGAAGGCGACTGTACAGTGTACGTGTTGTAAGCGTAAAGAACTGTTAGAGCTTTACTTTTAAAAAGCCTGTGTTCATAGAATATACAAATTAACTTTTTTTGCACATTCAGTAACTATAAAGTGTGCACCTTTTAAACCCGTCTTGAATACGGTGTGCGAGTTGCACAACTACGCGTTTAGAAATAAATTGTCGAATCCAGCGTATAAAAAACTCCTGAGTGAAACATAACGGACATAAACAAACAAATAATGAATTATTAAATTCGTCTCACTTACGCGTTTAGACGTTTTATACCACAGTGTTTTGTGATATTAACCTATATTTTACCCAAAACCCAATTAACGATTTTTGTACTGTACTGTTAGTTTTACATATACGTAAATGCTTAGGGTTGTATATTTTGAAAGTGCGTTATTTACATTAAAAATAAAGGTGGAACGTATACAAAATGTTATGGATCATAAAACAAACAAAAACAAGAAACGGGCGAATATAAATAATTTATATACACATACAGTATTACAGTTTATAGTTTTGTAACGGAAATAATGATTACTGAATCGATTGATCTTCTAAACTAACTACTCATTAACGTTATAGACAACTTTCCCCCTTCATTCTATGACAAATTCCAGTAGTCTTCTTCCTAATTTTGACCTATGTTGTTCATTATCATAATTACTCGTTGTTTAATGTAAAAACTGCCCTTTTCATGTAATATTCCTGATTATTTTGTTGTTTGTAAAAGATTATATTACCAAAGTGACTTATACTTATACCATTTGACTATTGTGTTAGTCCTTCATCAACCTAAACCTAAATGAAATTAGGGACATTTTTATCAAAACTAAAATTAAATATTTAACAAACTGAAACTTAATCAACAACAGTCTTATACTGTATCTCAGTTATTTAAAAGGGTGTTCTGTATCTAATGTTTTTTATAAATGTAGTACATGATTGTTGTTACAAGAAGATCTTACTTATCTCACCGGTATGTAAACTACAAAATTATTTCATATTGTACCACAGAGTTAATTTAAATAACACAACTAGTTTTTTAGTGACACCCAAGGTCATACACATTACAAAACCAGCATTAACAAACCTAAGTTAAGTTATATTCCTAAAGCTAACCTTCTAGATAATAAAGTCGCAAGACTCCAATTAATAAAACGTGCATATAATGTTTTGCACATACCGTGCACATACTTTAACGGGGTGTGCCGTTCAGTTACAGCTGCTTGTGTACAAAAAAAATTAATAACTGAAAGACTATTTGATTAGGAACTCACTGACTCACTGATCAGGTATGCAAATGTTTACCCACTTCTAAAATAGCTAGTATCTGAAATCTTTTGTGGATGTCTAGCTCGGTCCCAAACCACCCAGAAAATTCAAAAAATTACAGTTTAAAATCACAACCCCTTAAAACCCTAAATCCCTTTTTTTAACGCATTTTTTGAACGGGTATAGCTTGAAAACGGCAAGAGCAAAGATTTGAAATAATTTCCATGGTCAGGAATTAAATTTTCTTCAAGACACTCTTCGGCGATTTTCGAAAATCGCACTACTTGACCTTAAAAAAACTTACTATTTCTAAAATTTGTAAAATGTCTTGGATTTTAGACCATGTTTTCAATTTTTTAAATTATTTTTCGGACATATAGTACAGTACTTTCAATGATCCCGATCCCAACGTTGAAAGAAAAGTTCCTAAAGTGACAGTTTAAAAACAAGACTAAACTCGTATGTTGGTTTTAATTACGTTTTAATCGTGTATAATTAATTTCAATGAAAGTCAGTGCCATTGGTGATAACCCCTTTGTCATGCCGTAGTAGCAAAGAATAACACAGTGAGATATGTTACTCTTTATTCTGCACAGAGTATCACTAGTTAAATTAGTGTGATTCGTCGAGGATAAAACATTTTTACGTTAAAAATAGTAGTTTATGATGATGATTCAGGATTTGAATTGGTCGTGAATATTTACTGAGTCAGTGTAATTTGTGGGTTATCAAAACCGTATTTACGTTCAAAATAATATTTTATTACGATGGTTTAAAATGTAAATTGATCGTGAATATTTACCAAGTAATGATAGAGCCATCTTAACTTTAAAATTGTAGTTGACGATGATGCAAGATGTAATTTGATCGTGAATATTTACTGAATCAGTGTAATTTGTGGGTTACTAAACCGTATTTACGATTAAAATAGTAGCTTATTACGATAATATAAAATTTAAGTTGATCTTGAATATTTACTGAAGGATTATAATGCCATATTAACTTTAAAATTGTAGTTGACGATAATGCAAGATGTAATTTGATCGTGAATATTTACTGAATCAGTGTAATTTGTGGGTTATGAAAACTGTAGTTACGATTAAAATTGTAGTTTATTACGATAATTAAAAATGTAAATTGATCGTGAATATTTACCAAGTAATGATTAAGCCATCTTAACTTTAAAATTGTAGTTGACGATAATGCAAGATGTAATTTGATCGTGAATTTGTACTGAGTCCGATTAATTCAATTATGATTAAATTAAACCATATTTAAGTACTAACTTATAGTGGCTAATGAGAAAGCAAGGCTTAGCTCATCATCACGATATGCAAGTACTGTAATTTACCTTGGAGCTATTGTAATTTTTAGTTCCCGTTCTAAAATATACTCTAATTGGAATATTTGTTTAAAATCACTTTACATAGCGAAAAGGTACTTTTGTGTAACTTAATAATCATAATCACTTTTGTTTTACCTTTTTGCATTCAATCAATTACAATTTGATGTGAAATTACTCAACTGTAATTTGCAGTGACTGTAATCGAACACAAAACTTAAGAAAATAGGAAAACGGTAAATAAACCCCTAATTGGAACAAATAAAGAACACGCATATCATATTTTCTTCTTTTAATTATACATGTAAACATGAGAAAGTACCCATGTTTTGCCTCCTAGATTGATAAAGAGTACTAATAGGTTAAATGCTTTAAATAATATAATTTTTTTAGGCCGGCTAAAAGTATTAATTTTTAAATATTTCGTGTAAATATAAATGTTTCGTGTGTCAGTGTGTGTATGTACTACATGTGGAATGCGACGACCAATGCTTTTAACAGTAATTAACAAGACGGAAGATTTGACAATGGGCTGACTGTGAACCATGCCCCCGAGCCTGCCCCCAGACTAACGAAATGGAAGCGTGATCCATGCGCAGGCCCGAGAAGCGGCTCACAAAACATTACTTAACAAAATGAGAACCATGGATGGAGGTTCAAGAACAACACGCCATTTGAGAGAAACGAGCTGTAATTAACCATTTAAAAAAATAACACAACAATAACATCAACAACAATAATTAACAATAATACATGAATTAAATACTCTCAATTAAACTTTAAAAATTTTGATACCCGTTTACCCTACTAACTTACAATTATTTCATTAATCATTTTCAAATAGGCTAAATTTCAAAAATAAATCTTACTAGCTTTTACCTTTCAAAAAACTTTTAAATTAACAAATTACAACATGATATATATAATGACTCTTTTAATAAATTCATTTCATCTGGTAACTATAGAAACTTTAGGGGCCCCAAATTAGAATTCAATAGAATATTTAATAAAATTATAAAATTTAAAAAAGATCAACAAGTAGCCTAGGCTAAAGAATTTAAAATTTAAAAAGAAAAACGATTAATAAATCTCTGTGCACAAATTAACAAATAGGTAACGAAATCTCCAAG